TCTGGTAGCTAAGACACCATGTGAGAAGCCTGCAGACCATCAGATTGCCCAGGTTTCAGTTCTGGCTCTGCTCCCATGTCCAACTCTAGCTTCATACTTATGTGCACCCTCAGAGGCAGCAGGTGCTGGCTCAAGTTGATGGGTGCCAGCCACCCATGTGGGAGAAGGCCGAGTTCTCAGTTCCTCACTTTTGCCTCTTCAGTGGAGGGCATCTGGGGAGTTAAGCAGCAAATGGAAGATCTCTGTCTGTCTATGTCTCCCCTTCTGTCTCTTTCACTTTCAAATACAATGAAAAATAAATGCATTGTAAAGGTTAAAGGAGGGGGTATTGTGGACAGCACTTAGCCTAGTGGTTAAGATACCAGTTAAGTTGTCTGCATTCTATAGTATTTGATTCTAGACTCCAAATCCTGACTCCAGCTTCCTGCTAATGTGGACTCTGAGAGACACATTGATAGTTAAGGCATTTGGGTTTCTACCACCAATGAGGGAGACCTGGATTGCATTGCGAGCTCTCAGCTTCAATCTGGCCCACCCCTGGCCACTGCAGGCATAGGGGAGTGAACCAGCAGATGGACGCTCTCTTTTTTTCTCTCTCCCTGCCTCTTTGAGCTCTAAAACTCTGTCTCTCTTTCTCTCTGCCTCTCAGAAGAATAAATAAATAGGCCGGCGCCGCAGCTCACTAGGCTAATCCTCCGCCTAGCGGCGCCGGCACACCGGGTTCTAGTCCTGGTCGGGGCGCCGGATTCTGTCCCGGTTGCCCCTCTTCCAGACCAGCTCTCTGCTGTGGCCAGGGAGTGCAGTGGAGGATGGCCCAGGTGCTTGGGCCCTGCACCCCATGGGAGACCAGGAAAAGCACCTGGCTCCTGGCTCCTACCATCGGATCAGCGCGGTGCGCCGGCCGCGGCGGCCATTGGAGGGTGAACCAACGGCAAAAGGAAGACCTTTCTCTCTGTCTCTCTCTCTCACTGTCCACTCTGCCTGTCCAAATAAATAAATAATTCTTTAACGTATTGCTCCTAAATTTATCAAAATGGAGAGAGGGAATTGAATAAATATGACAAAATTCTTTCATTTGATAAATGTTGGAGGTTATATTGATCATTTTATTAACACTCTGCATATTTGAAATATTTCATAGTTAAAACTAAAATATTTATATAATTATTATTCTAAAATAAAGAGTCTTCACAAAACTGTTTTTAAGACCCTTAACCAATTTTGGGTGAAAATAAATGCATTTGGTCTTGTTTGCAGATCCTATCTGGACCCCCTTCTTTTGCTACATGGCACAGTCACCTATGTAGTTTGTCTGTGGTCTGTGTCCTTGTCATTTCAGACCAACATTAGGTTGTACTCAAAGTAATATTCTAGTCCTACTTGAAAGGTATTGCGTTAAGTCCAAACAACATTCAGACATTCAAAAATACAATTTTTTATTCAGAAATTCAAACCACAAGTGCACACTCCAGATAAGAGATCAAGTCCAAAGTTTCAGCTGGCCTTAGATTTATCAGCACCACAGGTTATGCTAATTAATATAATGGATATTAGAAATGACTAGCTGTGGCAAGTTGTTCTGCTTCTTCCTTCTGCAAGAAGGAATAATGAGCTCTTGGATCCTGCATTCTGCCAATCTCCGATGTCATATGTTTCACTAAATGATGATGGATTAGGACGTCCAGCTTCTGATATGAGATGTAAAGAGCTTAGAAGTCACCACCCCATCCTAACATCAAGTACAAAGCTGAATTACCTGAAAAATCACCAACACTTCCTAAAGCCGTAAGGGCGAGATCACGGGGCAAACAGCTCCCCTGAAATTGGAAAGACAGAAAGGTAAATACAGAAAATAACATACTAGAGCAGAAGCCAGAGTAGAAACTGAAAAAAAAATAAAACTAAAAAAAAAAAAAAAAACCATAGCAAAAAACCTGAGCTGTAGCTGATAAGTTGCTGGGAGATGAGTGGGCAAGTCTGAGAATTAACTCCAGGATGACTCAGACGTAGGAGACCCATTCTCTCATGGTTTTACTTCTAGAAGATCAACTAGATTCTTACAATAAACACCAAAATGATTGGAACAGAAACAGATTTACATTTAAAATTTTATTTATTTATTTGAGAGGTAGAGTTACAGAAAGAGGGAGAGACAGAAAGAAAGGTCTTCTATCTCCTGACTCACTCCCCAAATGGCCACAACTGCTAGAGCTGGGCCGATAGGAAGCTTTGAGCCAGGAGCTTCTTCCAGGTCTCCCATGTGGGTGCAGGGGTCCAAGCATTTGGGCCACCTTATACTGCTTTCCCTGGCCATTAGCAGAAAGCTGGATTGGAAGAAGAGCAGCTGGGACATGAACTGGTGCGCATACAGGATGCCAGAACCACAGGCAGAGGCTTAGCCAACTGTGCCACAGCTCCAGCCCCTTAGATTTACATTTTAAAAAATTTAAAAAGTAAGGATGTATAAGTGAAGGTAAGAAAAACTTTCAATTTACTTAATTTGGGGGTCGGGGGGAGGAATCAGGCACAGGGAAACAAACAGACATACAGGTTTTCCATCCTCTGGCTTGCTCCACAAATGCCTGCAATAGCCAAGCCTGGGCCCGGCCAAACCCAGGAGCCTAGGATTCGATCTGGTTCTCTACTGAGTGGCAGGGATCAGGCATTGAATCATAATGTGCAGGCTGGCGGGTGTGTGTGTGTGTGTGTGTGAGCAGGAAACTATCTGAAACAGAGTATCTGGGATTTGAACCAAACTGCAGGTGTTTCAAGCAGCAACTTCACAACTGCACCAAACTCCTGCCCCAAAATTTTTCTTATTTTTAATTGATCTAACAGATAGCAAGCCATTTGTATAAAATAATAGTAGCAACAATGTATTCCATGAATAGAGCTTACATATAGGCGGAATAAATGAAAGCAATGACACAAGGAATAAGAAAGTAGGAATATTTCATTATTATAGAGTAAACAGGGGTATAATGCTATTTGAAAATAATAACGTAGGAGCCAGTGTTGTAGTGTAGAGGGTTAAGCCACCACGTGCAACACTGGCATCCTATATAGGCACTGGTTGGAGACCTAGCTACTCCACTTCCAGTCCAGTTCCTTGCTAATGCACCTGGAAAAGCAATAGAGGAAGGCCTGAGGGCTTGAGCCTTTGCACCCACATGGGAGACCCAGATCAAAGTCCTGGTTCCTGGTTTTGACTTGGTCTAGCCCTGGCTGTTGCAGCCATTTGGGGAATGAACAAGAGGATGGAAGAGTCTCTCTCTCTCTCTCTCTCTCCCCTCCCCTTTCTCTCTCTCATTCTCTCCCTGTAACTCTGCCTTTCAAATAAATAAATAAATCTTCAAAAAATTAATGAAATATAAGGCCACTCTTTTTTCAACCCTTTCAACTTGGTACTCTCCCAAGCTCTGGTCTAGATGAGAAACCTCTCCTCTTTCCTTCAAACCTACAAGAAACATTCAATTATCTCTTCTAGCAAATTTGTTTGAGCCTTTATTCTTAACCCATCTATCATGTAGAACTATTTTGCTTTCTTTTTTGTACTATATCATATAGATGTCCACATTAGAACCTGTTTCCCTAAATTGTATTTGTCTTTGGAGGATAAGGTCTACAGATTATTCAACTTTAAACCCCCAAATGTTAGGAAATTGCAAAGTTTTATGTAAACATAGAGAGATTATTCTTATACTGCTAGAATTTTTTATGAAGGTATCTTTGAAACACCATACCCCCATGTGCATTATCCCACTACTCAGACATAAGAACAAGTGTATTGTCATTTGCAACAATATGGATAGAACTGGAGATCAGTATGTCACTTGAAGCACTGAAAGACATGCTATCATTCATATGTGTAGTCTGAAAAAAAGTGATCTAATAGGACTTAAAAGCATAATCATGCTTACCATAGACCAGGAAGGCTAGGGCAGAGGGGGGGATGAAAAAGGTTGGCCAAAAGGAAATAAGCTATAGTTGCACAAGACTAAGAATTTCTGGGATTCTACTGCACAGTAATGGTAAAGTACTGTATGTCTTTCTATTTAAAAAATAGAAAATAGAATTTTGAATTTTTTGTTGGACATTGAAAAATGTATGCCTATATTAAAATGTCACATATTTCCCCATAAACATGCAGAACTCTTTCAAATCTGTTAAAATGTTTTTTTTAAAACAAAGGGAAGCTCAAAGTCCAGCTGCTTAGTAAAATCTTCAATGATGACATTATTTCACCAGAGGGCACCACTTGCTCAAAAGTTTGTTCTCTGATACGAGGGCATTTTATTACCTGATGCATGTTTAAAATTCCTCGACTTATCCCAAAAGTATTTACTAACCACATCCCATGTATCAATCAATATTCTATAGATACTGGGAGTAAATAAGAGGAAAAAGGTATCTCTGCTTGGGCTTGTTCAGCTTGTTCAAAGTGATGGTCGGAAACAGCTTACCTCCTGCTAACCTTCAGGGTCTGAACTTGGTTCGATTATTTCCACTGTGGAAAACTAGGTTAGTTCTGAAGTCTCTTCAATGAGTATTCATTTAAAAAGTCTTAGTCAATGAGCATTCATTAAAAGCCTGTATAATATATGTATCATATTTTTCCTGGGTATTAAACAATGAACAAGACAAAGTGGTCTTTACTCTCATGGAATTCACAATATAGCAAGAAAGAAAACTTCATTTTAAAATGCCCAAAAGTGATGGGTGGTGAATAAAAGTGTGGACACAATACAGAATCAGGTGACTCGATTACATTTTAGAATTGAGGGCAAGCTTCCCCGAGGAAGGAGAAGACAAGCTCTCCACTACACAAGGACAAACTGATGAATACAAACAACCTTGAAAGGATTTCCAGGAAGACATTCTAGAGAAAAGTAGCTGAAAAGAAACTAACTGAACCTGGAATGATCATGGAATGAGGGAAGCACTATTAAGTCACAAAGAGAATTTGGTCAGAAGAGCAGCTGCATAAGAGGCTATGCTAATTTTCCTTTGTGGTCATTAGGATATGCCTGCTAATCTGGCGCCTGACCCAGTGTAACTGCAGCCTACAAAAGCCCCAACACCAATGTGGAACCATAGGAGTTTGGGACAGGACATGGAGTATCATTGACAAAACAGTAAATCTCATAGGGTCTAATTGGAACAAGACTTTGAAGCTCTAACAGCTTTGAAGCTCTAACAGGTTAAATAATGATGTAAGTGACTATAAACAGTTAACTAAAATTTTAAAAAATTCAAAAAATCCAGAGTAGGATATGCTAGAAAATTCAAATTAGCTCCATTTTAAGAAGTGAAACTAAGAATCTCAAAAGTTGGATCCTGCACTGTGGCTTAGCAGGTTTAACCTCAGCCTACAGCACCAGCATCCCATATGGGTGCCAGTCCGGGTCCTGGCTGCTCCAATTCTAATCCAGCTCCCTGCAAATGGCCTGAGAGAGCAGTGGAGGATGGCCCAAATCCTTGGGCCCATGCACCCACATGGAAGACCCAGAAGAACTCTTGGCTCCTGGCTTCAGATTGGCCAGCCATTGCAGCCATTTGGGTGGTGAATCCGTGGACAGAAGACCTCTCTGTCTGTCATTCTGTGTCTCAAATAAATAAATAAAAATAAAAAAATAATAAAAAAAATAAATTTGTCATATTTTTGCTTTTTCTTTACAATAGAACCAAGAAATCACCCCCTTCCTAAGAAGAGAAGTCTCTGTCCTAAATAAAAGGCCTTGTTAAGCTCACATACTTTTTTCTTATTTAACTTTCTAGGCAAATGACTTGAGAACTGGATGGAATCAAAGGCAAAATTAAATTATTCTTTTAAGAAGAAAGTTCTTCAGAGAGCTGGATAAGAAGGTAAAAACAGGGTAGGCATTGGACACAGTAGTTAGGCTACCTCTCGAGATGGCCCACATCACATGGTTCCAGTCCCGGCCCATCTACTTCTGAAACATTTACCTGTCAATGCACACCCTGAGAGACAGCAGGTGATGGCTCAAGTACCTGAGGCCCTGTCAACCACATGGAAGACCCAGAGGGAGTTTCTGGCTCCTGGCTTCCAACTAGCCCAGCCAGCCAAGGCATTAAGGGCATTTGGGGAGTGAATCAGTGGATAGAATCTCTCATTCTTATTTTCTCTCTCTCTCTCTCTCATTGCCTTTAAGTGAAAAGAAAAATTAAAAAGAAATAAAGTAAAACAATGCAAAAATAGAGAAAACAGGGAAAAAAGTGGAGAGAACAGGAGAGCAGTACATATAATCGATTAGAAATTGATAATCATCTATGGAACATCCAAGTTCCAAACACTGGACTAAATAATGAACATAAAATGAAAATTTTCTTAAAAGTAATAATATTAGCGTCTTGCCACAGAATGTTCTGGATTTGATATGTAAATATTATAAAGCAACATGATAAGTCCAGTAATCCAGGAAAGTATAATCCAAACTCAGATGTCTGGAGAATAGTCTATAAGTTTTAGTAACAACCATTATTTTTGTCTATTTAGCATTTCTTCTTCTTCCATTCTCTGGTGAACAAATTCCACTCTTCAGAAGCAGAAACTATCTCATGTGATTCGATGAAGCCACTTGAATGTCTTTGTACCCCAAGACAAACCAAAAGAAATTCACAAGGCTCAGATCATGATGATTGGACTAATTTGTCATCACTTAGACTTTTCTTCAAGGGCTATTTGGAAAGGTTCACCAAGTTAGCCCATTTCTTGTTAGCATAACAAAATACTTGAGGCTGCATACTTTAGAAAGAAAAGAGGTTTATTTAGCTCACCGTTCTGGAGACTGAAGGCCCAAGGGTATGCTGCTGCATCTGTTCAGCCTGTGGTGAAGATCCCCTTGGCTGCATCACAATGTGACAGATTTGTATCATGGTGGAAGTGGGTACCAGAGGGAGAGGGTCGCCACATGCCGAGACAGAAAGCCAGGGAGTCAGGGACCAGGCTCACTCAAAACTAAACTAGCTGGTCTAGTTCCCAAGAGAAATGTCTTAATCCCTTCTGAAGGCAGTATTCCCCGTGACTTAGTTACCTTCCACTAGACCCTGCCTCTTAAAGATTCTATCACCTCTCAACATGGGCTCAATGGGGCTCAAGCTTCCAGCATATGAACCTTTGGGGAAAACACTCAAACCATATCCAAATCATGGCCCCATCTTTTCACTGAGGTTCTGAAGTGTGAGAGATGAGTATAGGGCTTTTCGTAAGCCACTTTGTAAGTCATTTAAGCATGAAAGACTGTGAAAGAGACAAAATCTGAGGGAACTCCAGGACCAAGCCATGGCTGGCATCAGCTATGCCATAAGACACCTACTTGCAAATGGAAATAATTCTGATTTATACAGAGGACAGCACTGTTGGTATATACCAACTATTGGTGGTTTTTTGAATGTGCTGCTGGTTAAGCAGATTTAAAAGTTCAGAAACATCAAAAGGAAAAGGAAATACATAGTAAAGAATACTGGATTCCTGGGATTATGCAAACAACACAATGTTTGGCCTGTGTTGGATACTGAGGCCATGAGTCTAGAATGTACATAAAAAATGAAGAAAATGACAAAGCGAGTTCACATTAAAATTCATTATAAAACTTATCTATGAATGATTTAAGATGCTACACACTTATTTTTAAGTGTGTCTTAACAGACTACAATATAAAGGAAAATTTATAAAGTGTTTAGTTCCTAGCATAAAGCTGCTAAAATTGACAAGTTCATTTTTAATATTTGACTTGAAAATCTTGGGCACAGCAGTGGCCAGTTAAAATGCAAATTAAATTTTTCAGGAAACAGGAGAGATGCACATTTTAATTGAATTTCCTGTGAAGAAAAGGTTATAAAAGTACCCTCTGAACAGGAAGCAGCTTTGTGTCACAGCTTAAATTTCATGTCAAATGGCTTGGGACAAAGTCTTAATGTTCTTATTTGTTCCTTGGTTTATTTTGGTTTGCATTAAGAATCTCTCCTGCTGTTTCAGAATGTTGTCAGAAGGACTAGTGGGCCTTAAGCTTTATTTTAAAAGGAATGAGTTAGTCATAGATGGACAAAGTGAATGGGCTCCATGTGACCTGGGATTAAAAGTAAATGCCTTGTTAAAGACAGTTCCCTCAAGAATGACCTGAACTTGAGTTTGTATTTAAATACAATATGCAATTTTCCCCCTGCATGACATTTCACTAAGCCTAGACTAAAAATCACGTTGCTTGTCTCTTGGCCAGCCAAGGATAATAAGCTTTTCCTCCTGGTGAACATGCAGCTCTTCATGATTTTATTGAACTCTTAAGACAAATAATATTCTCTCTCTCTCTCTATCTCTTCCTTTCAAATAAATAGAAATAACCAAAATAATTAAAAGACAAATGATATGGCTTGAATGTCTGTGCCCCTCACCCCCAAATTCATGTTAGGAGGTGAGGCCTTTGGGAGGCCATTAAGGTGCAAGGGTGGAGCTCTCATGATTGGGATTCAGGGTTTTACAAAAGAGACTCCGGGAAAATCTTTTGCCTTTTCAACCAGAAGACGCTACCGTGAGAAGATGGCCTTCCATGAACCAGAGAGCCGGCTCTCATCCAACACCACTCTGCTGACAAATTGATCTTGGACTTCACAGTGTCTAGGACTGAAAGAAGTAAATGTCTATTGCTCATCAGCCGTCCAGTCCAAGATATGTTGCCATAGCAGCCCACACAGACTAAGACAACAAATACAAAAGGCGGGAATATGGGATGACCAAATCTACTAACGTTATTATGCAATTTTCATATGCTCTCCCTGATAGATCTAGAGGCACACAAAGTGCAGGCTGCCAATTGAAGACCAATGCTTTCCTCCTAACAAAATAAACAATGTGATGCATAAGGATTTGCAAAGAAAAGAGCAGTAGGAAGGAAAATGGCTATACAGAGTCATTTTCAAAGGAAAAAATTATGTTGCTTTGTGATGATAGCGATAAGATTACAGAGTAAGGTCACAAGGCAACCTCACAGAGAAGTTACAGGATCAGAGGTGAGGGTATACAGCTCAGCCCCAGAGCCCAGGCCTATCATGCTGCACCTCTGTGAAGTCAGTCCAAACCCATGCAGAGCTGCTCCCCACAGTGGCAGCTTTGACAAGAGAAAGTGAGGCAGAGACTGTCAAAGTGGTGCAGATCAGGTGGTTCACCTTAGCACAGGGACTTACAGAACACTTAGATGCAAGTTTGCAGACAACCACTGAGCAGTGCAGGGAATTTACACAAGGTAATTCATGTATTCACTCCATTTTTTTAAAGATTTATTTACTCATTAGAAAGGCAGAGTTACAGAGGTGGAGACAGAGAGAGAGGTCTTCCATCCACTGGTTCACTCCCCAGATGGCCACAACAGCCAGAGCTGGACCAATCTAAAGCCAGGAGCCAGGAGCTTCCTCCATGCTGCACCCTGGTGCAGGGGCCCAAGAACTCTGGCCATCCTTTACTGCTTTCCCAGGCCACAGTAGAGCTGGACCAGAAATGGAGCAGCTGGGATCCAAACTGGAGCCCACATGTGTTGCCTGCACTACAGGCAGCAGCTTTACCCGCTACACCTCCGTGCTGGCCCCTTCACTCCATTTCTTTTTGTTTTGTTTGGTAACTATTACCAGAACGTACATTTTTTTCTTTGCCTTGAAAAAGTAGGATCTTGCAGTTCTATCTAAATTGATAATAAAAAAAGAAAAACATTGTTGAAAATTATACACTGTATAGAGGATATAAAAAGAAGGCAAAGTTCAATGTGACATTTGAAAAATGAAGATAATTTTCTAATTTTAATATAGTAAGAATTCTACCAATACAACACTCCTTGCATCAAGAGATTCCTTCCACTTTCATAATCAAAGATATTTTACTATATTAAAATATATTTTAGCTTTCATCTTTAACACATTTCTATTTTAGGTAATTACAAATCACTAATTATTTTATTATTTCTGAAGTGCTCAAGATAAAATTTTCATTATATGTGCACAAGAAAATGTAGTTTATGTATAACTTATGTATACACTTAACATATGAGCAGAAGAGAAAGAAAAATATTACATAAATTATAATTTGCTATTGTGACAAAAACATGAAACTGATGTTTGTATCATTTATTCTAATTGCTATGCATGTATCTCAACATATTATATTAAATAAATGTCAGTTTCACTTTCATAGTGGCATTATCTTCATTAATAATGATCTAGAGTTGATTTCATCAATTTAGTCTGCAATTATTCCTAAGAAATTATTACTATGTGGAATTTCTGCGTATTTAAATATTTATTATTGACTTATAAATATTTATGCTTTGATGATTTCACAGATTAAAGGTAAATTAAAGCAACTATGAATGTGTTCTGGGATTGAATGAACAATTAAGTAAATGGATGGCAGGTGGTAGGAGACAGGTCTCTCACTGTTGTGGGAAATTGTGGATAGGAGGGGAGGAGGCTAGAATGATTCTCACGATGGATTGCAGGTGGAGACTTCACTATAAGCTCATATTTAGTTTAATATGGAGTCAAATTGTTTGAATCTATATATAGAAATACGTACCATATCTGTGTATGAACCCGGGATACCATACACATATGTATCTCTGTATACATCTGTCTCCTTGCTTTATCTTCTGAGATATCTTTCTACCTTCTGAGAAGGCCTAGGAGCAACAACAGCAGAGGGGCAGTGAGCACACCTACTATGCAAATGTTGGCTGCTAAGGTACTCTCCAATGGAAGGAACCAGAGCTCCTTGGATTCTTGGAGAAATGATTAATTCTAATACATACTTCGTCAAGAAATATACAAGATGAGTTTGGGGCATCCTTAGTATCAGAAAGTAAGGCTCTATTATAGAAAAAAAAAATAATGGGCAAAAATCCCCACAACTATGCTGATGGGAGTTTGTTGAAGGGATGTGGAAGCCAACTGTAAGCATTCCAAATATCCAGAGCTGAGATAATTTAACCAACAAATGAAGCAGTACTAGATTGCAGCTCTAAATATAAAATAAAAGTAACCTCACAAATTTCATGGAAAATGTGTATTGTGAAGAAACTATTCATGGGTTTCAAATTTTTTCACTAATAAACTAATCTTTCATTTTGTTTCTTCACACATTTTTTGAAGTAACTTCATGTGAGTCCATAGAGATATAATCAAGTGATTGACTAAATAAATGAGTATGAGAGAATAGCCTAATCTCCCTATGGAAGAATTCCAAATAATATTATGGTGCTCTGCTGTACTCATGGGGGTATTTCATAACTCTCCACTCTTTAAGTGTGGAGGGCACATAAGCAACAGTTATGGGTAGAATTCTGTCACCTATAATCTTAGCTCCTGGTATCTCAGAATGGAAATAGAGACATGTCATTAAGATGTGGTGCTAATGAAGTCAGGTGGGCCTCTGATCAATAGGATTGGTATCTTTACAAATCAGAGAAATTTGCACATAGACACAAACACAGGGAGAACACTCTGTGAGCCTGAAAGCAAATCCAAGAGGCTGTACCCACCAATGAAAGAATTACACAGAGTGCCAGGACACTACCGAGGTGGGAGAATGGCATATGCTTCACCGCCCATGGAAGGAATGGATCTTGTTAATATCCTGCTCTTAGATTTCCAGTTTTCAGAACTATAAGACATAAATTCCTGTTGTATTTGCCACTCAGTTTATGACATTTGGTTATGTCAGTCCTAACAAACTAATACAGTGACTTCATTCCAAAAAGAATGGTCTAGAAAGGTAGAAAACAGAAAAAATGTACAGTAGAGATACTGGATAACAATTATCTCAGCCAGGTTACCAGGGTGATGTAGGTCAAACTGATAGTATATACCCTTGATATGATGTGATGATAAAGGTAAGTTATCTCTGTAATCTTCCCTTAAAAAATCACGCCACCCCTATCTAGTTATAAGAAAAGTAGCAGAAAACCCCTAGTTGAAGGATATTATGAGCAGAAGTGGTAAGGATAAAGAAACTGAAAGTAATCAATGCAACTATTCAGAAAACCCAATTTCATTTTATGAATTTTTTGTTAGTATTTAAGACTCATTTTTCTATCCAAATAGTATGTGGTATTCCATACCTCTCATATAATTAAACTTTGAGCATTTAATACTAGTGGGAAGTGGAGGGATGGTAGTTGTGGATGAAGTATAGAAATTTAAAACATATAGTTAAGGTTTACTGTCATGTTACCTCTGTTGGTTTAATGAGAGTCGGTTATGTCACTGTCTCCATAAGAATCAGAAATGACTCTGAGAGCAGTTGTAAGCTGGGAACAAGTCAGGTGACACATGTTAACCTGAACTAGACCTTTACAGTATTATATGTACTCTGGACAGCCCTCTTAGGGAATCTCTGAATGTGGACAGATGAATATGGCTAATCATTTGTTGCTTGAGTATGCCTTCTAATGTGGGGGCCTTATTTAATTGTAACTCTAAGCCTTATTGTCGTAGTATGTAAGACAAAAAGGTTTGGTAAAGAGACCAGTACCACCCAAAACAGTCAATGTCATCAAAATCAAGAAAAGTCTGAAGGAAACTTAGGAGACATGATAACTAAATGTAATGTGATTCTGGATAGAATTCAGTAATAGAAAAGCAATGCTGGCCAGCGCCGCGGCTCAATAGGCTAATCCTCTGCCTGCAGCACTGGCACCCCGGGTTCTGGTCCCGGTCGGGGCGCCGGATTCTGTCCCGGTTGCTCCTCTTCCAGTCTAGCTCTCTGCTGTGGCCCGGGAAGGCAGTCCTTGGGCCCTGCACCTGCATGGGAGACCAGGAGAGGCACCTGGCTCCTGGCTTCGCAGCGGCAGTTGAGGGGTGAACCAATGGAAAAAGGAAGACCTTTCTCTTTGTCTCTCTCTCTCTCACTGTCCACTCTGCCTGTCAAAAAAAAAAAAAAAAAAAAAGCAATAAAGCAATGCTGTTGAAAGTAAGGAAATGCAGAGCAATTATGGACTTCAGTTAAGCATAATTTATCCATATTGGTTAGCTAACAGCATATGTATTATATTAGCATAAAATGTTAATAATTGGGAAACTGTATAAGAAGTATATAGGAAATTTCCAAAAATATTTTCATAAGTTTTCTGTAAATCTAAAACTGTTTCAACATAATATTTTAAATTTTCTTTACATGGAAAACATTGGATTAGCTTCACGTTTAATAATATATTTAAAATGCAAAGATAAAGTACTGTGAAATAGAGGTACATTTTATATGAAATGTAGTTTGTAGTAATCCCCACATGCTCATAAAATTTAATGTGCACTTTGAATAAGAAAAACTATGATCATAAATTATTTACACAAATTATGCTGTTCAGTGAGACAGGATGTATTTCTCAAACATGATCCCTAAAACTTTTTTATCTTTACAAAAATATAGCTAATAAATCGTTTTCTCCTGTCAAGTTGGCAGAAAACATAATAATCTTTGACATATTATTCTTAGAGAGTTACATAAACAACTTGTGATTCATTTAATTTCAGCAGAACAATTTTTTATGCTCTACAGTAATGACTTAAAAGAAAAATAAAGAAACAGAGCCAAGGATTTATTAGTAGTTTTTTTTTATCTTCCATGTCATATGCCCAATCAAATTTGTCTGGGGATGTGGGTAGACTTGTTCTCTTTCCTTCTTTCAGGCCACTGCTTTTTAAAGTCAGCAGAAAACAGGGTAGACCATTTTAGTAAAGCTCTGAGACATTAACATTCCAAGGCATGTGTGGAGTATTTCATTTCCCAAAAGGATGCTTCTTGGAAATATTTTTACTGTGAATTCTATAAATCTTATCTGGAAATAATCAATCAATTGCCATTTGGCTTCTTATTTCCCTAGAGGTTAGTATTCCTTTTATTCTGGTGAATCAACCCAGGTTCAGTCAGTGGAGAAGTGTTGGACTGAAAGTTCTGAAATATGGGATTTATTATAGGGAGGAGACTTTACACAATTGTGAGAAACACCGGCCCCAAAGAGGAGCTAAACCAGAGATTAGTTGCTAGGCTATCTATCAGAAAACCCGTGTCCTTCAAGCTTCATAAATGGGACAAATGGGGAGTTTATGGAGAAGCGGTGTTTCTGAGTAGTTACCTCCTCAGCTGGTGAGCCCGTGCAGGTGTTGGAGGAAAATCTGAACACAGAGAAGCACTTCTGTGGCTGTCTGTCACCACACGTGATGGTGAAAGGCCTTCAGAGAGAAATGGGCACTGCTTTATTTCTGTTGTCCAAGTCCACACAGTTCTTTTAGTTTTCACTAATTTGGAACCAGCCAGGGAAATAGAGGCCCCACTGTAACCAACTTAACCTCAGTTCTTGTAAAATGTGTACCTTGTCCTTGTAAAACTCAGGTAGAGCTATAAAATGTGTCTGTACTTGAAATCTTAACTTACAAATATGCACCATTTTGTTAGAACATTGCGTTGGCCAGTTGAGTACTAGAGTATACCCTTTATTATATAGTTGAACATACCCAAATAACAATATTTTAGTGAAGATCCCAGTTATTGGGGCTTCACAGTGATGCTATTTGACAAATGCTCACATTGGAATTGTAAGAAAGAAAATAAGAGTAACACGTCTATGATTATATTTATGTTTGAGTAGAATCAGTATATATATTAAATAGAGAGACCAAATCTAGAGAACAGAGATACCTGTGGATAGGGAAGAAGTGGCTGGTAGGCTGCAGTTAGTGGTAGAGGGCCAAGGAATTCACAGAATAGAAGTGAATCTAGTAGGAAACAGCACAGATCATGTTTAGAAGCAAGCCACCTAACTGATAAAAGACAGGCAGAGCTCCCTTCCGCTG